TATTTCATATGGTGCAGTACTGTGAGCTATATGTTTAAATTTATGTTTTTTACTATTTTTTACTGTTTTATTATTCTTAGGGTAGGAAATGCTTTTTTTATCAATAATATATTGAAAATACCGGAAATTTTAATATGTACTAGCTCACATAGGTTCGACCCTTTTCGTTTTCCGAAACGCTGATACCGGTATCGTATTTTACATTATTTTTTTTCTAGTACGATACCGGGACAGGGAGAAACTGCCCTCATCAATAAAGGCCCGGGCACGAGAAAATACCAAGACAAAGGAAAAGAAAAAGGTAAAGGACAAGGCACAGATGAGGCAATGTCACACAAAGGAAAACGACAGACAGAAAAAACAGTCAAAGTACAGAGGACCCAGAGATATGGAAGACTAGGCTCTGAGATGACGATAGATCTGCTTTTTGAAGGATGAAAGGTCATAAGAATTAGGAAAGACAGAAGGTGGAAGAGAGTTCCAGAGTCTGGAGGTAGATGGGAAGAAGCAGTCGCTGCAACGAACAATCCGCGAGCTACAAATCTCCACACAGTTACTGTGAGATGAGGCCACTTGGCGAGTGTTAAGCGGCCTCGGTGGTGGGGGAGGGATGCAACTCGCCAACTCATCAGAGCAGCAATGGAAGTAGTAGCGATAGAAAAGTGAAAGGGAAGATACCTTACGGCGAAGAGAGAGAGATTCCAGATTAGAAGTAAGAGAAGGATAATTAATGAGTCTGACTCCCTTAGATTCAACTCTATCAAGAAGATAAGTAAAGGAAGAAGCACCCCAGATGTGTGAGCAGTATTCTAAGCAGGGGCGGATAAGACCATTGTAAATTTTAACTAACTGCAAAGAGGAAAGCAATTACGAAAGCGAAACAAAACCCCCAATTTTTTGGATGAAGATTTAGAAATTTGGATTATGTGATTCCTCCAAGATAAGTTAAAGGCTATATAGTTTCCCAATATGATGATAGAGTTAAGTGGGTAAATTTCATTAGTTTTGAAGAAAATAGGGTTATCAGGAGGAGAAGAAGATAAAGAGATAGCCAGAAAGTGTGTCTTGGAGGCATTGTATTTAACTAAATTTTGAGTGCCCCATTCAGATACTCTCTGCAAATCGGGGTTAAGAGTAGAAGAAAGAGTGATACGAGATTAATTACGAGTAACAGATGAAGGTTGTGATGAAAAGGCAGAGGAAAAGTGAAGGGTAGAATCATCAGCAAAGGCATGAAGAAAGGAGGAAGATGGGGATTGTAGAAGATAATTGATGAAGAGAAAGAAGAGAGTAGGTGAAAGAACAGAGCCCTGTGGAACATCACTGGTAACAGAGAAAGGGCTAGATGTCACGCCATCACAAACTACAGATATAAAACGGTCAGTACGTAAACTGGAAATCAGAGAACAGAAAGAAGGGGTAAAGCCATAGGCAGGGAGCTTAGCCAACAGAGCCTTGTGCCAGACTCTGTCAAAAGCCTTAGAGATATCAAGGGCGATGACAAAGGATTCCCCATAGTTCCTCAAAGAAGATGACCATACATGAGTAAGATAGGACAGGAGATCTCCAGTGGATCTTGTCTTGCGGAAGCCGTACTGGTGATCGGAGATAAGTGAGTTAGATTCAAGACATTTCAAGAAGTGAGAAATGAGCAAAATTTCAAAAACTTTAGCAATAGAGGAGGTTAGGGCAATAGGTCGATAGTGAGAAGGAATAGAGCAGTCACCCTTCTTAGGAACAGGTTGTATTGGAGCATGCTTCCAAGATGAAGGGTATATACTGGTTGACAAAATGAGGCGAAAGAGATGGCAAAGCACTGGAACCAGTTCATCTGCAAACTCCTTAAGGAACCTTGCAGGGATACCATCAGGAGCAGATGCCTTGTTCGTCTTTAGCGAGCGAAGAACCTTATGAACTTTGCGTGAAGAAAGGATAAGGGAGGGCATAAGGTTAGAGAGGGGAAAAGACTGAGGAACAGGTGTACTGGAATCGTTGATAGAAGAGTTGGCAGAAAAATGAGAGCCAAAGAGAGTGGCTTTGTCAGTAGGCGAGCAAGCTATAGAACCATCAGAACGAATGAGAGGGAGAAAGCTTGAGTTACAGAAGTTTTTGGAGAGGTTTTTGGCTAAGGATCAGAAGCATTTGTCAGTGGGAGAGGAGTTAAGGTCATTAACTCTCCTTCTTATAAAGGAAGTCTTACACCTTCGAATCTGAGTTGTTCAGCGATTCCTAGCTATAATGAGAGCAAAGCGAGTTATATCAGAAGAAAAGACTAGGTAAGATCGGTGAGCATGATTCCTAGCATGGATAGCCATAGAGCAGGCACGGTCAAACCAAGGTTTAGGGGGAGAGAAAGCTTTTGTAGAAGAGGGGATGTACACCTCCATTCCCTCAGTCATGATCTCAGCAACTTTTAAAGCTACCTGATCAGGGTTGCGGGACCAAAAGCAGTAGTCATCCCATGGGAAGTCAAAGAGAAAGTTATGCAAATTTTCATGTTGGCTACGCTCGTAGTGCCAAAGGCGGTGCTGAGCAGGAGGGATTGGTGGTGGGGGAGCGAAAATGGAAGAGACTTTGATCATAGAGGGGTCAGATTTACGAAGAGGGGAAGCAAAGAATAAGAGTAGTTCGAAGGGTTAGAAGTAAAAAATAGGTCAAGAGTGTTTGCAGCATGTTCGTGACGATCAAGAATGAGAGTAGGATGTTTGATAATTTGCTCCAGATCGTGAGTAATAGAGAAAGCAAGGGCCTCGCTTCCTCCCACATCAGTGTGAGAAGAATGAAGCCACTCACTGTGGTGTACTTTGAAGTCTCCAATGTAGAGAACTTCGGCATGTTGGTGAGAAGATAGCAAGGACTCCATGAGCCTCGCAGTAGGAGTGTTAGTGTTGCAGTATGCACAGACCCTACCTTTGGAATGAAAGCGAGTATATAGATTATAGTGAGAGATTTGGAATGGGTCAGTGGAAGCATGTATAGACAGCTGGGTTTCAGATAGGAGGAGGAGGATAGGGAGGAAAGTGCCCAAGTACTGTTCCACAGACGAAAGATTAGAGTTCAGCCCACGAATGTTAGAATAGTGAAGAGTGAAAGAAGGAGATCTATTGGGAGGTGCAAGGTTAAGAGCAGAACCGTTACTACCACCCTCAAACCAATAGTGGAGTCAACACGATCCGTGGAGATTCTTTGCACCCCTATATGCCGGGTACTGTGGGCCATTATTTGTGAACCTTCCATAAATAATAACAAATGTGAGGAAAAAGAATGTAAAAGACACAGATGTGGGGAATGTTGTGACTTGTCAAATAGCAAGAGATGTGTAATGAATACGCCAGAATATTCATGTAGATGTAGGCATGAGGAAAGAACCGTCCTGAAGGAACACTCAACCTGGAACTGTCTGGACCAGTCCTAGTTGCATCCTGATACCTTCAGTCATAATCTTTCAATGGGCGGCTGCTGCCATGGCCAACCTAGTCATGATGTAACTGTGTGTTACATGTTTAAATTTAAATATTTTACTATTTTGTACTGTTTTATTATTCTTAGGCTAGGAAATAAATTTTTTTCAGTCAATAAAACAATGAAAATACTGGAAATTTTAATATGTGCTATCTCACGTAGGTGCGATCCATTCTGTTTTCCGAAACACTGATTTCGGTATCGTCCTTTCTATGATGCAGAGTTAGATGTTTTAATTTATGTTTTTTTTACTATTTCTTACAGTTTTATTATTCTTAGGCTGGGAAATACATTTTTTATCAATAAGATAAAGGAAAAAAAAATTTTCAGTAAAATAATGAAAATACTGAAAATTTTTATTTTCTGTTATTTTAGTATTCTCGAATATACCCAGAAAAAAAGAAAAAAAGCTTGCCAAAAAAAAACCGCGAGCACTGAATTCGCGAAAGGTAAACCGCAATATAGCGAGGGATTGCTGTTTATATATATATGCATATATATATATATATATATATATATATATATATATATATATATATATATATATATATATATATATATATATATATATATATATATATATATATATATATATATATATATATATATATATATATATATATATATATATATATATATATATATATATATATATATATATATATATATATATATATATATATATATATATATGTATATATATATATATATATATATATATATATATATATATATATATATATATATATATATATATATATATATATATATATATATATATATATATATATATATATATATATATATATATATATATATATATATATATATCAAAAAGCACCTTACCATATGTGAAAACATGAATCATATTTGCCCCGACCGGGACTTGAACCTGGGACCTGTAATTACTAAGCCATGGCGCTACCAACTGCACCAAAGAAGGTCATAAAAGGAACAGACCTTACATCTTATATCTGCTATACTAGGAATTAACGCATTCTATCTGAATGCCACTATATTCATATTACAATTACCCCCAACCTCACCCATGCTTTTGTTTTCGCATTTAATTCAACTCCCAATTCTTGGTCCCGAATGAAATTGGTAATTGAAATAAATGCGAAAACAAAACTACGTTTGAGGTTGGGGGAAACAGTAATATAAATATATATACATATATATATAAATATAAATATATATATCTAAATGCGATCGTTCCTAGTATAGCAGATATAAGCTGTAAGGTCTGTTTCCCTTTTAAGACCTTCTGTGGCATAGCTGGTAGTGCCTTGGCATAGTAGTTCTATGTCCAAGGTTCAATTCCCAGTTGGGGTAAAAGTTATTCATTTTTCACAAATGGTAATGTGCTTATTTGATTATTGTTGGCCCCGGATGAGATTGGGAGTTGAATTAAATGTGAAAACAAAACCATGTGTGTGGTTAGGGATACTATAATACGAACAAAGTGGCATTCAGATAGAATGAGATTATTCCTAGTATAGCAGATATAATCTGTAAGGTCTGTTCCCCTTTAAAGA